TTTTAAAGTCCCTTGCCTCTCTCTCTGTGCTCCCAGCAAATCCCAGGCTGTCTGGGAGTTTCATCATTTGCCGGACCCTCCTGCCAGCACTGTAGCTCCCACCACCTTGGAGCAGTTCACTGGGGCTGGTAAAGTGGCTGCAGGCTAGCCCAGCACGCTACCTGAAGACAGAATAAATATGGTGTCTCACACTCAGTGTGCTGTGGGTTCAAATGTGTGAAGCTGCTTTTATTGTAAATTGAAATTTACAATGACTGCATTCGTAGTAACATTTTTGTCATGATGTATTTTCTCAGAACAGATACTAAGAGTACAAGTCCTGTCATGTGGGGCTGCACATTTTTGTGGCCTAAGAAAGAGGTCCTCTTAGATTGGCAGTCACTGTATTTCAATCAATTTTAAACTCTTCAAATTTGTACTTCCTTTTCCCCCCATAGTTAGGAATTTTTGTGGTCAGAGTGTACTCAGTCAAGCAGTGCAGCACTTTGATGGCACCTGCTCCTCCTCCTTTTGCTCACCTGTTTTAACACTTACTGAATACCTCCTCATTGGCAAACACCAACTGATGCCTTGTGGCAGGGAGCCAGCCTCCTGTCCCTGGAGGCCACAGTCCAGGGATAGAATCAAAACAATCTTGAACGTTTCTGCAATTTCCAGTGGTTTTCAGAATGCATTTATAGACTACCTCATTTGATTTCATCCACATGACAGCCCGGGGGTGAGGGCAGGGGTGAGTATCCCTCTTTTACCACTGACGGCAGCTAAGGCCCAGGGAAATTTAGTTGCTTGACCAAGGTCACGCCCTAGAGAAGTGGAATGGGGAACCGGCCCCCTTTCTTGCCTTTACAGAGCACTGGTTAAAACCTCCCTGGTTGCTGGAGACCCAGCAGCTTTCTGTCTTAATTAGTCTTCAGGCTTCTCAATCTCTATTCTGATCTTTGAAAAAAAGATATACCAGCTAAATTAAGGGAGGCCCACTACAGTCTTTAGGCTGCATGTGATACTCATAATGCTAATCATATTAACAGTGCTGGAGAGAGATAAGAAATAGCACTAACGCCAATTAAATGTGTTTTTAGAAAAAATCAACCACAGCAACCCCGAATGTTTCCTGGTCTCCAGAGCAGCTGTTGGCAGAGGCGGTTTGAATGGGATTCCTTGTAGCCAAGACACCTTGTAGGAGGTCTGCAGAGATGAGTCATGTGTGAGCTTGCAGAAAAATCATCTCCCAAAGTAGCCCAGATCAGAGATTGCCCTGAGTGCTAGGCTGGGTCTTACTTCAGTCCAGCTGAGCGTGTTCCCCGTAGCCAGGATAAGATCACACTCTGGAAAGAGGAGAGGCCTGACGGCCTGCTGCCTGCCCCACCCTGCAGCCGCCTCGCCGCCAGGTCAGGTGTTCCTCTGACTCGTGACCCATCTTGCCCCAAAGGCTGTTTTGTGAGTGAATAAATACAACCCACCATTTGTGAATTATTAAGGGATCTGTCATCCAGCAGGCCAGTCATCTTGGTTTCTGGTCATGTGTTTGAGACGGTCTGAGTTGTGTCCTTAGGTGATTCGTCCCCTTTCCTGGGGATTATTTTCTTTATCAGTGCCAGGAAGGAAGGAGTGGGACTCTCAAGTTAGTGCTCCTCTGTTTGTGTTTTTAGGCTCCAGACCCCCCGCCCCTTTTTTAAATTTTAAGTTCTAGAATACATGTGCTGAAAGTGCAGTTTTGTTACATAAGTATCACATGTGCCATGGTGGTTTGCTGCACCTATCAACCCATCATCTAGGTTTTAAGCGCATGCCTGACTACAGGCCCTTTTTTGTACACAAGAAGGCCATTAGGTAACCACCAATAGGGAAGCCACTTTGAGCGCAGTCCTTCCTGCTTAGCTGTGGCCCGAGATTCTTCCTTGGACCCTCCGCCCCAAACACAGTGTGAAAACCCACTTCCTGGATGCTCTCACAGGCTCTTCTACCAAAACCAACTTCCTCCGGGCTCTTTGTGCCTTCTCTTCCTCTAACAAAGAGTAAATTCCATGGAAATGCCCCAGATCAGTGCTTGAGTAGAATGTTTAACTCATTCAAAATTAAAGCCCTGATTTCCTTTCTGCAAGTTAAAAATCACCAAGTGTTAAACAGATCATTAGCTTAGTGAGGGAGTGTGCCTGACTACTACCGTGGTGCCATTACGGTGACCTGAACACAATAGGTGCTCGATAAATATTTACTAAAAGAATGAGTGAATCGAGTTAATATTATCATAGAACGAATTTCAGTTTCTGGTTCCATATCTCAGCTTATCTTTAGATGTAGCTTATTCTGGTTTTAAACAGCCAGTTAGGACGTTTCATGGTGTATTAATCGGACCAATATCTGATCAGTGGTGCTCAGTTAGTTGGGGGTTCTGTGTTAACGATATACCTTGGTCAGTGTTTTCCTGTAGTCCTCTGAAAATTAATGAGGTTAGGATCAAATTCCCAGAACACCGTTGGGAGAACACCAGGACACCATGAAGGCTAAGCCGTTGCTTGGCTCTGACACTGCATCTGTTGGTCAGTTGATGTTCTTTGAGCTTTCACTTACATGACTGCCTGGTTCTGTGGGACATGCAGGAGCAAAGCGCTCTTAGGCAATGCTCCTTTTGCCCTGTGTTTACAAACCACGTCATGTGCCAGTTCTGCTCAGCCTGACACCTATAATGAGCACCATCCCAGGAATCCCGGTCCCTACTTGTTATTTTTTTTTTTCAATTGGCCTTTGAATGTGATTTAGGATTAGCTTTCTGCAGCATTACTCTCTCTTCCTGGGATGACTGTGTGGTGTGTGCTGTCTGGGCCTGGGGCACTGGCTGTTGTGTGCCTCTGGCTGTTGTGTGCCTCTGACTGTTGTGTGCCTCTGGCTGTTGTGTGCCTCTGGCTCCCCCTTCCTTCTTTGTCAAGGGGCATGAGCAGTCTTTCTTGCTACTTCCCCCTCCTTCGTGAGCTAAGATACAGGGGAGAGGCTCACCCGAGTGTATTAGAAATCTGCTGTCTGCTGGTCACAATTCCTCTTTCTCCTGCTTTCTTCTTCCAGGCCGTAGTTTGAAAGACAAGTGACAATTCTTTGAACCCACGTCCCACCCTGCAGTCTAGACTGCTGCTTCCCAGAACACCATGACTCCTGTAACAGCTTAGACCTCTGTCCCCATCAGTCCCTTAGCAGCAGGCTTTCTCTTTGCTTTTCACTGGCTTGTTGGAACCACACAGTGACTTGACTGCATGTTAAGTTTTGTGCTCAGGCAATTCTGCAGTGTTTTTAAAGCGTAGAAATGGAGCACTGAGCACAGGATGCTGTGTGGTTTGCCCAGGGCTGGGTTCAGAGGCGTGGATTTCAGGCATTTGCCCTATAGCTTTTTAAAATTTGTGCCATTGGTGTGGACCTGACAGATGCAATTCCCAGCCACACACTATTGTTAAAAATGGAGCAGGAGGCCAGGCGCGGTGGCTCACGCCTGTAATCCCAGCACTTGGGGAGGCTGAGGTGGGCGGATCACCTGAGGTTGAGAGTTCGAGACCAGCCTGACCAACATGTAGAAACCCTATCTCTACTAAAAATACAAAATTAGCCAGGCGTGGTGGCGCATGCCTGTAATCCCAGCTCTTTGGGAGGCTGAGGCAGGAGAATTGCTTGAACCCAGGAGGTGGAGGCTGCGGTGATCCGAAATGGTGCCATTGCACTCCAGCCTGGGCAACAAGAGCGAAATTCTGTCTCAAAAAAGAAAAAAAAAATGGAGCCGGAGTGTGAGGCTGGCAATATTTGAGAGAAGGAAGGACATGGAATTTGAAGAGAGGGCAGCTGACATCCAGTGGAATGTGACCGTGTTACATAGCCACTTAGCTGACCCCAAACAAGCAAACAAACAGAGCCCCTGTTTGGAAACAGTGGTTGTATTTATTTGCTGGTTATCACATGCACCCATCCTCCGTCAAGTGATGGTTCTAAGTAAACAGATGGATGGTTGTGCATGAGGCATGGAATTGGCTGCTCGCAACCCCTCCTTTAATCATAAAAATAATAGCAGTAACTGATGTTCATTAGGCACTTACCACATTCTGTACCAGGCTCCTTTCTGTGCATTTTACACTAGTGGTTGCATTTAATCCTTACAATAGGAGAAAGGCACTGTTACTGTCCTCGTTCTACAGAGGAGGAAACTAAGACATAGAGCTTTTCTGGGAGATCTGAAAGAGTTAACATTTGCCCACAGTCATATACTGAGTTGGGGCAAAGTTAGGACTGAAGCCTATCTGACTATTCCCCATGCATCTATATTTTCATTGATTCTGATAGTATTCTCTTGGCTATGTGCCTTGGGTGAAAATGAGCGTCTGCATTTTCAGGGACCCCTCTGCCACAGAGATGGCTGCTGCACTAACAGGATACCCCATCATCCTGAGGGGTCCTTGGGAAGACTGTTCTCCTCCTGCTGTCCTGCTGGAGCTCACCGGTGGCTCCAGAAGCCTGGCTTCTGGCTTTGACCAGGGCAAATTGCTTATTTCTCTGAGCCTCAGGTGCCTTTGTTGTAACTTGGTGGCGTGGATCAACCCACCCCAGAGCCCTTTCTAATGCAGGTTCTTTGTGAGTCTAGACTGAAGTATGTGGGGTGGACATATTAAGGGTTATTTTGTTGATGGTTTTTAATGACAGTAAATGTTGGACAGCACTTTACTCATCATCAGAATAGCTTTTGAAACACTTTTGTACACAGTTTCTTTGTTGTTTTGGGCTTTGCTAATTTATTTCTTATCATAAGGTATTGGAGTTGCACAAGACTTTTCCCGGATGAGGACAATGGCAGCTCACATGTATTATTTTCTGTGTGCCAGATACGTGTATGATTTAATTAATTCTGTTCTTATAAAGGGTCAGCAGTGGCAGGTATCGTGCCCATTTGACAGTTGAGGGAAGAGAGGCAGCGAGAGGGAAGTGACTCGCAGGGTTGGGTGGTGCCTTGCTGAGAACTGGAGTTTCACTTCCCTTCCCTTCCTGGGGTCTAGGGCTGACTCCGCAGTACCACCACTGCCTTGGAATGTACTCTGGGGTTCCCCTGGGGCTTTCCAGCCTCTGGGCAGGACTGTTGAGGTAGCACCACATCTGTCTGCAGATTTACAAAGAAGCCTCTGGTTTCTCCATTATTAAAGTGGCTTAAAAAGTACATTTGCTGAAAATATCGCATGAGAATCTGCTTTGGAGAAACCTTTCACAGATGGCACAACAGTGGGAAGTGGCTCCTAGAAGTTAAAACAGTTCCGTCCACCCACCCAACCACCCACCCAACATTGGCTGTCACTGAGTGTCAAGCAGCCTGCCAGGGCAGGAGAGGGTACTGAGAGGGCTGAGGCATCAGTGCCCTTGGGGAGCTGACAGTCAGCCACCACCTGTGTTGTATACAGGAAACTGTTGATCTTGGCTCTCACACCCTCACCCATGTTAGAGGTGGCATGAGGCTGAGCTGGGAGGTGGGAGACCTGCCTCATGGCCCCCAGGTCTGGTCCAACCCTGTCTCTCCACCTGTGCAGTGAGCCAGTACAGAGCAGTGACTGAGCTCCTGTGCTTAGGGTCCTCTAGCGGTGGCTTTAGCTATCAGTCCTCCTGTGTCATTGTTGTGGCATCTTGGGCATGTCACCCTGTCTTGTCTAAGCCTCAGTTCCTTATCTGTAAAATGGCGAAAATCCAAACAGCACCCACCTTATGGTATTGAGGCAGAATTAAATGAGATGATGTACATAAAGCACTTTATCAGAGTCAGGACACACAAGTGTTCGATAAACCTTAGCTTTTGTTCTGTCCTCAGGTCTCCTTCTGCTCTAAAGTGACCATTTCTTTGAAAATGGTTAATCTGGTAACTAAAATTCAAACCTCAGCACTCAGAAAAGGGGAGGTCCCTGGCTATTGAGGTATTTCCTTTTAGGCTGATTTGTTCTCTCTCTCTCTCTCTCTCTCTCTCTCTCTCTAAGAAGGCTGAAGTCCAGGGAGAAGGTTTTTACAATTAAGTAATAAACGTTTGAAGAGATCACTCATAGGAAGAGTAGAGGGCAGTTCATTTCAGCTATATGTGTCCCAGTGCATGCAGGTAGATCAGGAGGCCCTGATTTTAATTTGAGTCTCTCTGGAAGGAATGGGCCTGTGCTTGCAGCCTGTCGTGTATGTCAGAGCCACAGCAGGGCTGATCCACCAACAGGAATATTTTTGGACCTGTCCCAAGAGACACCTCCCCAGTTTCTCCTTGCAGGGTGACTCTTGGGGATTAATTAAATCATTTCCATTCAGCTCTGGAGGTGAAATGATCACAGGATTGCTTTTGTGACAGTTAAAACACCATAAGACATTCAAGGTCCTTGTGTATAAGTAACTTACAAATTGCATTGAGCGCTGCAAGCAGGGCATTTTGTACCCTTTATTTTTCTTCGTTGATTAACTTTCACAGTTAAGATAAATTCAGACATCCTGTTGTGGTGTTCTGAGTCTTCCTTAACCCCTGCTCCCCTGGGAATTTCTGATACGTGAAAGTAAATGTGTGTAGTCTCCTTGCAAATTTGTCAGTGCAGCCAGCATGAAGCACAGTGCTATTTTGCAGAGACCAAAGCCCAGTCAACCCTTTTCACTTTCTGTAGTCATTTGGTCCTGGAGCTACACAACCTCCCAATTAGCATAACCACACTAATTTGTGCTTCTGCCTCAGCTTGTCAAGAGTGCCTTACAAATATTAATTCTCTGAGCTCATCAGAAAACCAAAGGCACAGATCAAAAGCGTGCTTTTCTGCATGATCTGTCCTTGTTTTTTCTGTTCACGAGGAGCTTTCTCTATTAATTACCCTAAGTATGCAAGGTTATAGAATGAAGCTTTTATATTTGAACAAGATAAGAATTGGGCTAAGGACCTGGATTACAGGGACTTGGGCTAGGGATTGCCCATGCTGCAGGGTACCAAGTACCCTGGCCTCATCTTGGCAGGAGAAATGCATTTACTGCTGGAGGAAATTCTGTAGGCGAAAGTCATGGGGAGCATGTGAGTCATGATCTCCCCAAATGCTTGGACCTGTGGCATCTTTGGGCAATGAAGAGGGAACCAGCTTGGCACTGCCACAGAAATACCGTGTCCCCTGGGGCAAGCCAGGATTCCTTCCTGGACCTCTGAACCCCTCTCCATAATTTGAGGGCCTTGAACTGGAACAGAGGTTCCTGAGCTTTTTCAGATCATAGGTCTCCCAAGAGTCTGATGGAAGCTCTGTGGACCTTGTCCCCAGGGAGAAAGATTCATTATGTATGGACATGTTTCTGCCAAGCCGTAAATTCCCACTACTGCGTGATAAATGAGAATTTGCAAATACCCGGGGTCTTGGAAAGATCAAATAGAATTTTTGTTGTCTGAACAATCAGGACTTAGTTCAGTCAGATCTGAGCCCGAGTGATAGTAATTGTGCATTCCCGGAGTCTGGTGAGGATTCTGTGAAATGCGGCTTGTTAGTTGCTGAGTATAATGCCTGCATGGATAAAAGGTGAACCTTCCCCTTATGGGTGAGGTTTAAAAATTTACATAGAGTAAAATTGATGTTTTGGGGATATATAGTTCTATTTTTTATTTGTAATTTGTGATGGGGTCACACTGTCACCCAGGCTAGAGTGCAGGGTGCAGCCACAGCTCACTACAGCCTCGACCTCCTGAGCCCAAGTAGTCTTCCCACTCAGCCGCTTGAGTAGCTGGGACTTAGGTGCACACCACCATGACCTGTTCATTTTAAAAATTTATTTTCATAGAGACAAGATCTCCCTATGTTTTCCAGGCTAGTGGGGTATAAAGGTTTGCGCATTTTAATACATGTAGATTTGTGTAACCACTGCTACATTCAGAATACAGGCCAATTCCATCACTCTAGGGAAAAAAGCCTCCCTGCTGCCCCTTTGTAGTCATACCCTTCTCCCACCCTGGCAGCATGGATCTGCTTGCTTGCTTGCTTTTTTTTTTTTCTTGAGACGGAGTCTTGCTCTGTTGCCCAGGCTGGAGTGCAGCAGCGCCATCTCGGCCCATTGCAACCTCCCCTTCCCAGGCTGAAGCAATTCTCCTGCTTCAGCCTCCCAAGCTGGGATTACAGGCACCTGCCACCACCCCCTGGCTTATTTTTGTATTTTTAGTAGAGACGGGGTTCCACCATGCTGACCAGGCTGGTCTTGAATGCCTGACCCCAAGTGATCTGCCCACCTCAGCCTCCCAAAGTGCTGGGATTACAGATATGAGTCACCATGCCCGACCAGCATTGATCTGTTTTCTATCTATACCTATAGATTTGCATCTTCCAGAATACCATGTACATAGAACCATAGAATATATGTGATTGGCCTTTTTACTCTGTACTGACTTTTTTGAGATTCATCAAGTTGTTCTTTTGATCACTGGTTCATTCCTTTCTATTGCTAAGTAGTACTCTATTGCATGGACATTAACTGCTTATCTGCATGAGAAATTGACCTTGGCTAACTGTATGTCTGTTTGCTAGAAATAGACAAAGATGGCACAGGACCAACAAAAAACAATTCAATTTTTAAAACGGGCAAAGGACTTGAATAAGCATTTCTCCAAAGGAGATATACAAATGGCTAATAAACATGTCAAAATGTACTCAACACCACTGATCACTAGGGAAGTGCCAGTCAAAACTATAGACAGAGCTGAGCGCAGTGGTGCATGCCTGCAGTCCCAGCCACTCGGAAGGCTGACGTGGGAGGACTGCTTTAGCCTGCAAGGCCAAGACTGCAGTGAGCTCTGATTGCATTGCTGCACTCTGGCCTGGGTGACAGAGTGAAACCCCAAAAAAGAAAATTAGCCAGGCACAGTGGTGCAAGCCTGCAGTTCCAGCTACTTGGGAGACTGAAACAGGAGGATTGCTTGAGCCCAGGAGTTCTGGGCTGTAGTGCACTGTGCCTACTGGGTATCTGTACTAAGCTCAGCACCAATATGGTGACCTCTGGGACTACCAAGTTGCTTAACAAGGGGTGAACTGGCACAGTCTAGAAGTGGAATAGGTCAAAACTCCTGTGCTGATCAGCAGTGGGATCACACCTGTGAATAGCTACTGCACTACGGCCTGGGCAAAATAATGAGACCCCATCTCGTTCATTCACATATGCATATAAACATACCTAAGTACTTAACCTACCTACCGCAGGGAGATACCACCTCACACCCATGAGGATGGCTGTTTTCAAAAACAGAAAATAGAGCTTGCAGATAGCTGAGCAGGTGGAGGCTCCTGAAGGTGGCACACCCAGGGAGGGCTTGGAAGCTCCGCATCGCTTCTCACAGGGCCTGCCCAGTGCGTCTCTTCATCTGTGTCATTTGTAATATCCTTTATAATAAATGAGTAAGCACAAGGCACATGGAATTAACAGACTGTGGCTGCTGTTTTTAAACCGGGTTGGCCAATATCTGTGTGTCTCTTCAGAGGATGGGCTGTCTTTCTGCAACAAGGGAGAACAGAATCACAAGATCTTTTGAAAGGACCTCGATATTTCCTGTGGCAGATTTCAGTATTGCTGGTCAGAACTGATTTTATCCATCAGGGTTGCTATGGGCTTTCCTAATTATCTTTAGTCTTCCTTGGATTTACCAGGCCATGGATGCTGAAAATAATAATCCTGGTGTTTTAGGAGAGGAGTGGTCTTTTTTCCCCATGAACCCTCTGGGCAGTCTGCTACTTTGTATGTATATATGGCCTTCCTGAAAGCATGTGTGAAAACTGAATATCAAACCCATATCTTAATAATACACTCTCACTGGACACTCACTCAACTGGACACTCACACAGTCGGATGAGTTATCTGAGTAAGGATGAAGATCTATACTTTTGGCATGTCCGCTGAACTCTGTCTTCTCTCGGCAGTAGGATTTTATGAAACTTATGTTTTTCACTCATATCAGCTATTCCATTTTCTCACTTCCGCTACTTTTTATAAAATATTAATGGCAAAAATATAACAAAGCAGTCAGACTCTTTCCACAACAATAATCACTGCCACCACAACAAAAACACCCCACAGAAAATAAGCATTGTTGAGGATGTGGGGAAATCTGAACACTTGTGCACTATTGGCAGGACGGTAAAATGGTGCAGACTCTGTGGAAAACAGATGGCATCTCGCCAAAAAACTAAAAATAGAATTACCACATGATCCAGCGAAGTACATCCCTACGGGTGTATATGCAAAAGAAGTGAAAGCAGGGTCTGGAGGGGATGTTCCTGCACCATCTTTGTAGCAGCATCATTCACAGCAGCCAAAAGATGGAAGCGACTCAGGTGTCCATGGATGGGTGAATGGATAAAGAAAACGTGGTCTATTCATACATGGAATATTATTCAGCCTTAAAAAGGAAGGGTGTTCTAACTTATGTTCCAACGTGGATGGACCTTGAGGACATTATTCTAAGTAAAATAAGCCAGTCACAAAAAGACTGATTGATTTCAGACCAGATGATTTCACTAGATAGTGAGGTGTGTACACTAGACAAAATTATAGCAACTGAAAGGCGCTGAGGTGGCTGCCAGGGGCTGTGTGGAGCGAGTAATGGAGACTGTTTCAGTTTTGTATGGTGGGAAAGTTCTGCAGATGGCTGCTGCTGCTGCTGGTGGCACATTATGAATGTTACTTATTACCACTGAAGTGTACACTTTAAAATGATTACGATGGCAAGTCTTATATTATGGTATTTTACCATAATTTTAAGAATTTTCTGTGGATTCCAAATATTTTTCAGTGTTTATATAATTACATTATTTAATCTTAAGTATATTTTTAAAATTTTTGTTTATTTATTTGAGATGGAGTCTCACTCTGTTACCCAGTCTGGAGTGCAGTGGTGTGATCTTGGCTTGCTGCAGCCTCTGTCTCCCGGGTTCAAGTGATTCTCCTGCCTGAGCCTCCTGAGTAGCTGGGGCTATAGGCATGCACCACCATGCCTGGCTAGTTTTTGTATTTTTAGTAGAGATGGGGTTTAACTATGTTGATCAGGCTGGTCTTGAACTCCTGACGTCCAGTGATCTGCCAGCCTCAGCTGCCCAAAGTGCTGGTATTACAGGCATGAGCCACCATGCCTGCCCCCCGCTTTTTTTCATAGAGATATCGTTTTGCTCTATTATCCAGTCTGGAGTGCAGCAGTATGATCATGGGTCACTGCAGCCTCAAACTCCCGGGCTCAAGGAATCCTCCCACCTCAGCCTCCCAAAGTGCTGAGATTACAGGTGGGAGCTGCTGCACCCAGCCCATGAAGCTTTTAATCCAGGGCAGATCTCACACCTATGGATGGGGACCCAGTCATCTTGGACCTGGGCTTTTCAGCTGTGCTGGGTCCCTGCTGTCCCCTGGCAAGCTTCCATTCCCATCAGGGGCTGATGGAAGTCCCTGGGAGCCTAAACGTCTAGTTGAGGTCCAGCCCCTGGTGGTGATGTAGCTTGGCACATAGTTAGTGCTTGGCTCATGTCACTGTTAGTAAAGACTCTCAGGCTCTGCCGTGGCTTCCCTCTGAGGACTCTGCCTGGATCCATCAGCGGCACTTACTCTCTCTGAGTTGACAACACAGATGGCACTTACTCCAGCGCTGTTTGGCAGGATTCCAGGCTATCGCCACATTCTTGAGAAGGTATCACTGGCTTGGGGGAAGGGAAAAGAGAGGATGATCTAGGCAAAAGCAAGGTCAAGTCCCTCTCTGAGAATTTTCCAGCCTGATAGGCCCTGTTAGGTGGTATGGTGCCGCTGTGTGAGTGGGAGTGCCACCTGGAGATGGCCGTGATAGGGTCGCTGTTCCCACGGTGTCATTAACACGTCTCTGTACGAATCTGGGTGATAACCAATTACCTTGGGGTTTTTTGACGCTAAGGTATCAACACATGTAAGACGTGTTATTGATTTAATGTCTCTCGGGAAACAAAGGAGAAAATACATTAGTGGGTGGATTATGAAACACAGCTTGATTTCAAAACTGAAGCTGTGAAAAACTACAGTACCCAACAGAGAATGATTTTGAGACCCTTGGCGGATACCAAAATCCACAGATGCTCAAGTCCCTGATACAAAATGGCATAGTACTTGCAGATAACCTATGCACCTCCTCCTGTATACTTTAAATTATCTCTAGATTACTTGCAATGCCTAATACAGTGTAACTGCTACATAAATAGGTGCTATATCATCTTATTTAGGGCATACTGACAAGAAAAAAGTCTGTACCTGTTTAGTTATAGACACAACCATCCATTTTTTTTTCCGAGTATTTTCAGTCGGTCGGTTGAATCCACAGATGCAGAACCCGTGGCTACAGAGGGCCAACTGTATGTGACTCAGAATCAGGGAGACACAGTATGAGCCACTGACTCATCTTCGAGCTGATTTCTTAGGCACCTGCTATGTACAGTCAGTGGCAATAGATGCTTGGAACATGGATAAAGAAGTCAGGGCTCCTGCCCTCATGGAGCTCGATGTGACTGGGTCCAAGTACACCCCTCCAGACGAGACTTAGCCATTGACTAAAGGGTTGGACTCTGGACTTTTGCTTGTCAATGCACCTCTATTCTGGCCTCTCAGTTAGATATCTGGACACCAGAGGAAAATTACTCTGAGGATCACTGAGCTGACAGAGCGCGTGACAGATGGAGTGATGATCACACTTCCCGGCCTCCGCCTGTTGTCCTGGCATCATTATTAATAGAGCCCTCCCTGGTTTGGATGAGAAAACACTGAGGGGGAGTGATCATTGATATCTATCACGTTCCACAAATCTGCATTGGAGAGGGTCTGGGTTTGCATAGAGAGAGCTGCCTCAGGTCCACAGCCTGTTCTAACGCGGGTCAAGCCCATGGAGTCTGCGGGAGGGTCAGTGGGGTTTGGCTGGAGCTCCGTTCTCCCACAGGCATCTGCTACTTGGCATGTTCCAATCACTCAGCTCCCAGAAGCATCAAAATCTGGGATGGTTTGGTTCAAGAAACATAAACATGCACATACAGCAACCAGAGCACAGTTTTATCCTAAGGTAAAAATCAGATCAACCAAATTCAAATTGGCATTTTTTGGAATGGGTGGAAAGGATATTAGTATTTTTAAGTTTTATAGAGAAAATTGGAAAATAATTATATAGGGATATTAGTCTTGGTTAACTTGGACAGATTTTTTTTTTTTTCTGTTGCTATGGAAAAGATACAGGCATAGGATTTTTCTAAGAAGTTTCATTTTTTATGCAAGTGATATACTGTGGAAGGAGGTTAAAGGAAACACCCAGAAAGACAGGTAGGAAGCTTTATGTTTGTCACAGATTGATCACTTGCGACCTGTGATGTTGGCAGGTGTTGCTGACAGGGTCATCAGGGGCCAGATGGTCACTGTCCTGAGGACCTGCCAGGTACCCAGAATGCTGCCTGCCTGTTTGGTAGCTCTCAGTCATTAGCACCTGGAGGTTGCTGGGCTCCAGTACCTGGTTTCTGATTCAGCAGGTCTGTGGTTGGGCTAAGAATGGGCATCTCTAGCAAGTTCCCAGGTGACACTGCTGGTGGAGGTGGGGGGTATCTTTGGAACCACCACTCAAAGTCTGGAGAGGAATTGGAAGGGTCGTACAGACTTGACCTATCAGATAAAAGGTTGCCCTTATAATGATGTTGATGACGACGACGTTAACAAAAAATTTCTGTGCATTAATGATAGGTGCTCTGCTACATGTATTTAATCCTCCCAGCAGCACTGGAAGGAGGTAACAGTGGCCTCATTTTACAGATGAGAAAACTAAGGCCTAAGGCTAGGCATGGTGGCTCACACCTGT